TACGAACAATGAAAAATGGCACAAATCGACCCAAGACCACCCAGAGGTTAAGCTTTGTATTTAACCTCTCAGGAAACAGATGTAGCTGTCCATTTGTTTTGACTTCTTTTAAAATTGCTCAGTAGATGCACATTTACACAGGCTGGTTATGGGGTGCTGGCACTGATGCGCTCAGTCAGACGGAACAACTTTCACATTTGTTCACAAGAGCCAGCTCACTGTAATCTACTAGAAAACAAAGGAATCTGCTTTTGGAATGACCTACAGCATAGAGACAGTGTGGAATACCAAGTTTAAACTCTTTCACCTCTATCCATTACATCCAAACAGTACCCACTGTTAGGGTAATCACATGAGACACGCTATTCCTCTTACAGATAATTCTTTTGGGAGAGAGAGAAGAATAATTGCTATTTCTTACCAAGAAGGACAAAGACGACTCAACCTATTGACCAGAAGCACAGTGAGCCAGCTCTCAAGTCTTTTTTTTAGCACCCTTGACTTTTCCTTTGAGATAACGGGAATACACCGAGGTCTTGTACTGCCTCCCAAATTAGATAATAAGCTTCCAGGATGGCCTCGAGGCCCTGAGGAAACACCAGGTAGGAGGCATAGGAGCAAAGATTTAAGATCACCCACAGAGTCAGAAAGGTTTGTGTATGACCTCTGGAGACCTGTCCATGAAGAAATGCTTCATGGCCGCACGGAAGAGAACGGAAAATCCTTTCCTATTTCCTTCAGTAGTGCATTTTTTATATTTTATAAATAAGACCAGAATTATTTTTATGTGTCATGATGATTGATCAGTCATTGAATGTGTGTGTGTGTGTGTGTCCCACATAATTCTTATAATTATGCCACAAGTAAATATTACAAAAGTGGCAACTTTCATGACTCAATCATAGTTTGAGACAGTTTATTAGCAACATCAAAAAGAAAAAAAAAAACAAAAATGTCCTGTTTTGTTTTGTTTGTTTGTTTGTTTGTTTGTTTTGCTTCCTCTCGTGGGTACGGCTGAGCTGAAGCAGTTCAGAGGAAAATAAATAAGTAAATCAAACTTCCTGCTGAGCGCTGCGCTGCGTTGCAGGTGCACCTGTTTGAGGTTATTGCTGCCAGCCACCACTTACTAAATCCAAGGATTTACTTATTTTCCCCCCAGCACACGTTTTCTTTTACATGTTCAACAAAAACTGAAAATATTCTATTTACACGTTGCTAATTTAATATTATATAATATTAATTTAACATTCTGACGATTATTATCTTAACTGGCTCATTACGCCTAACCAGGCTTTTACCTGCTGTAACAATTTGCCATGCTGATAAATCATAATGACTCCAAATTATATAATGTGTCTCTGCTGGGATAATAACAATAACAATTGCTTAATAATTAGAATTAGATGGAAGATTTTATTTATTATCCTATTTAAAATTTGTCACCAGCGAGCCCCCACTGTGAGGATACCCCGACAGATTCAGACCACAGCTGTCAGCGCTTCATGATGGATTTCTAACTCAATCTGATTGTATGAGCAGATTCCGCCTGCTTTAATTACAGTAAACCCTTGTTTTTCTTCTAGTTGAGGTTAATAAATACCTGGCAGCAATTTAAGGAAATATGGCACACACGAGCCAGACATCGGTGCTTGGATGTCTCTCCTGGCTGCAGCCCATTAAGTGTAACCTGGCACGTATTTGTGAGAAAAATGTAGACTAAGCATCTGATCTCACTGGCAGTGTTTTAACTTTGTGCTGGCAGAATCTGCTTTCTATACAGATTCTATGGCACTCACCACTGACAGCCTGACAAGTCGCTGAGCACAAAAACGCCCCGAGCACGCACAGAGTGAGGTCACAGGTGCCGACCGGGAAAAAAAGAGCTGTCTGTGGACACAGATAAGAAGAAGCTTCTTCCAGGTGCTCCCTCATTCATCAGAGGTTACCTTCGCTCGTGGTTCTGCATACTCGATTCAGCAGATTCTTGTGCCGGATGACCTTCTTGTTGCAATCCCAGAGGAATTTATGTCTCCTCCTGGTCTCAAACCTTCAAGTGTTCAGCGATTGTGCAAACCACTGCATCACGGAGCCACACTGTCTGTGGATAAAGGTCCTCAACCTTACCCCACACAGTGACTCAATCTTCTCTGTGCCTCACTGAAACTCACTAGCTCTGCATGTAACTAAAATGATAAACAGACTGCCTGATATGGTGATTTTGTAGTCTGAGGACTCAAAGCTTTTTGCACTGCAGGCCACATTCACACACTCATTTATACAAATTTCATTCGATTATTTTTAAATGTTTCTGACCTATCACAAACAATCCTGTATTTGTGATGGGGGCAATTTGGGATTCAGGGTCTTTGGCATCCAGAGTGGACCAGTCAGGGACCGAAAATGAGTGTTGGTTTTGGATATTAGCAGACAGTTTAGTTTGAATAATGCTCTGATCAGACGAAAACTAAAGAAGCCACCCTCACTATCTATCACATTTTTTTGATCGGTAGTACCCGCTGTTACAGGTGCATCGCCTAAAGTAATTATTTAAAATGCACAAGTCACCCTTTGCTTATTTTTACACCTAGTTATTTGCTTTCTGTTCCAGTTTCGATGTGCCGATGAGCTTATTGTGTGACAACCTTAATCAAAGGAGAACGACAGGATTGCAACAACTCAGTGTGCAGCGTGATCTGGATAATTGCTGCTCTTCCTTTGTGTTATTTTGCCTCTTCGTGCTCCCCATTGTTTTGGTTAGCCTTGTGGTTTAGCAGCTTGACTTGTCGTCTTTGTGCCTGCATCGTTAAGTCAACCGAGTTGTTTGTTTGTTTGGTGTACAATTCCCAGGAGGCTTTGGTATCTTTTCCTAATTCTTCCTTTAACTCTTTCATTCCTGTATCATAATTGATATGTAAGTTTTTCAGGCTTGTGCATATTTTTTTACCCCTGAATAAACCTAAATAGATCACCAAACATTTTAAGTGATATAATAAAAATTAAAGTTCATAAATTCAGAAAAAAATATTTAATATTTAATTCATGATCAGAAGGTTCAGTAAACATTTTCAAAAATGTGAATATTTTGGTAATTTTTTCATGGTTCAGGCATTAAAAGGTTAAAAGCAGGACATGTGTCATGATCCTGGGTTCCAGCGTTTTCTGTCTGGGACTCTGTTTTCTGTTTGATAGTTTCTGTTTAACTTTGTTGCACTTTTCAGTTTAGTTCTAACCTTTGCTTTGGTTAAGTTTGTATTCTGATTTTGTGTTCATCATTTTCTCTGTTATTCTCAGGTTTTTCCGGCTCTCCTATGTTCCCCACATCTAGTATCTGTTTCCATCATATTTTCTGTTGTTAGGCAGTTTTGTCTTTGTTTACATCGTTCTGTCAATTTCATGTGTTTTAGTCTCAGTCGGGTTATTTTTGTGATAGTCTCTTCAGTTCAGTTTGCTTCCCTCGTGCTTGTTAACTGATTCGGTTCACCTGAGCCTTGTTGTCCTCAGCTGTGTCGCTTTCCCTGATTATCTCATGTCTATTTAAGTCCTCAGTTTCTCTCTGTTCTTTATCATGTCGTTGCCCCTCCCTCCTCAATTGTGCCCAGTTTGTTCTGTTATGAAATAAGTTCTAGTTTTTTGTTTAGGTCGCGTTTCTTGTTGTTTTCTATTTTGTTTCCCGGGCTGCAACAATAAAGCTGTTTAAGTTCTGTTTAGCCCGTCTGACAAGCCCTCTCTCTGCCTACCACACAAACAGCACACAACATTGCATGCACTTTATACCATATGAATGCGATGTAGTAAAGGTAGTAAATGGCTTTTCCAGCCTGAGACCAATTTTCTGTGAACAACTGGTAAAAGAACAAATCCTTCTGAGTGAACTCTATTTAAATTCCATAGGTGGTGGTTGGCTTCTGACACGCGAGGGGAATAAGTGTGGAAATTGTAAGCAAAAACAAGTTAGCATTGTCCAAATGAAAGAGGATTGCTGTACACCTTCAGCCTGTTTTCCAGCTGTGGTTGGTGAGCGTGCCTGTGTGCTCCTTCAGATTTATTCCTTAGATTCAACATGTTTCAGATCCAACATATCTCCCATCAGCCACCACCACCTCCGTCTGTCCAATAACAAACACACAGCACTAAAAGTTGAGTGCAAGTGCGAAACCACAACATAAACAGTCAGAGTCACAAGTCAGAGCTGCATGATTGTTAAATATGAAGCACAGAGAAGGTGTTAGAGTGAAGGACACGCGGTGGATCCACCAATCAGAAGGTCACAGGTTGAGTTCTTCATGTGCCAGAACGGTGTGTTTGATATTATTCATGTGTGAATGGGTGAAACTGTCTTGTGAAAGCACTTCAGTGGTTGATAACACTAAACTTAAAGTATTGCAATATCAGTCTATTTACTGTTTTTCATACTTCAGCATACTGAAGCCTCGAGAGAGAATAAAACGCTGCTTGCAGTTTGTATTTTTAGATTGCTCTCTGCCAAACTTTCAATCAAATCTTTATTTATTTCTGATCTGTAAAGGATACTGAGTGCACACTGCTGCTGAACTGGTTACCAGCAAGATCTTAACGTGAATAGGGAACAGAGATTTTGAAAGATTTAGTTAATATTTATAATATTATTTCTCTTATGTTACAAAACTGCTAATTTTATTGCCTTTAATTGGAGAATTTCATCTTGTAGTAACAGCATCCAAAGCATAAAATCATAACTCGCGTTTAATAACTTTAAATAACCAAATATTAGAAATTCAGAGGTTATGAGAGAAAACTCTGCATTTTAGAAGACAGTCATATAGAATGAGCCATCGATGCTTCATCGTGCTCAGCAACAAGTTGTTTGTGTTCATGGAAGGAAACTTCAAACCTTTCAGGTTACAAGCAAGAAATTCAAAAGCCTGAAGTGAATTTATAGAGGACTGCCCCTTTTTACAAAAGTGCATCCTTGTGAATTTTCAAGCTGCATTTATAGGCAGCAACAAATGTAGCACTCTTACCCCAATCGCTGTCAAGATGGGAACCTGGTAGATCCATTTGATGTTCCCAGCACTCAACTCCCAGCACCTGCAGGTGACACAGATGCAGAGGAAGGAAGAAGATTCTCAGTGAGAGAGGCAGAAGCAAAAGGTGATGGTGTCATTCAGAAAAGCAGACTGAGTAGAGAAGTGGAACTGTGTAGAGAAACTCTGAAATGCTCGAGACTGCAGTGATGGTGTGATGATCCTAGTGTTTCTATTATTTTTTCCTGTGACAATAACTGAATATGAGCTTCTTTTGGAGGTTTTCACATCTTTAAGTTATATTTTCTGGATTTAAGATGGCACTGATTTATTTTCTGTGCCATCTTTGAGTTTTGTTTCCTTTTAGTTAATGTAGGGATGAATTTCAATTATTGTTTATGTCTTTGTTTCATATAACAGTAGCCTGAGGTCCCTCAGTGCTATTGCATCTGCTCCTCTCTTTAAATATTCGCATCCTCTATTGTTCCCTGTTTTCTTGTTTCGTGCGTCCTTCAGGTTAGTTTTGGTTTTACTTCCTGTCTCCGTCTTCCCCTGGCTCTTCTAACCTGTTCCGACCTGTCTCTTGTTGTCTAATCAGCCCTTTGTGTATAAATAGTCCTGTCTCCCTTTTGTGCTTTGTCGAAGCATCTGTTTCCCTGTGTGGTGCTCTCAGTGGTCTCCTGTGACTTCTCTTGGTTTCTAGACTTTATTTATGGCCTAAATGCAGGTTTCTGTTATTTAACTCTGCCTCTGGTTTCCTACATTTGGGTCCAAAGCTCTACGCTCAATGCTTTTAGACACACAGAGCAAATAAAAAGGTGTATGAATAAAGTCAGAAACAGGCAGAGGTGTGACCTACTTTAGATACTGCTAAAAAAGAACAGCAAAGAAAAATTAGATATTTTCCATTTGACTTGTTAATACATTTTAAATTCAAAGGAGAATGTTAGTTTTTTCATTTTTGATTATAATTTTTTTAATTTACTGTTTGTTTGTTTTTTAATCTGGGGTTGTTTTTATTATTTCGGGTTTAATTTAATTTCCCAATTCTAGTTTAGGTCATATCACATTATCTAAATATTTTGATTAAGGATTTTAAAATGCCAAAACGTCAGCTTGTATTTCTTGCAGTAGTTTGTGGTGAATATTGTCATGTTGCACAAACCAGGATATTGACCGACTGCCTGCATTTGTTGTTCCCGTTTTGACTTATAATTCCTGTGGTCTCTCATGTTTAACTCTCTAACAACTCTTTTCATTATCCAGATTTTGCCTTGTGTACTTCAAACATTGGCAACGTCTGAAGGTGCTTGATTTGGTATCAAGCACTCCAAATCAAGCATTCTTTGCATATCAAATCCTGTATTTCACTGATTCAAATGTCACCACAATTAAGCAGTGATTACAACGTCCCGCCTCTCTTCTTATTCATTTTGAAGTTTATTTTTTCCAAACTTTTTTGGCAGATGTTTTTATAACCCTGTGAGGTCTTAGTTATCAGTGGAGATGGGCCCAATGCTTACACAGTCTCTGTGGTATCACAATATGTCATTATAGTTTTTATATCATTTTCTTAAAGAAATCAGAAGACAAAGATGGCTATCCTTCTGACTGGCTATTATCTACATTTTGAACACAGAAGACAGTTTTTACACAGTTTTTACAAAACACAGGGTTAGGGTTAGGTTTTGGAGGGAGGGCTGGAGGACGTCTTACACCTCGCAGGGATAATCTCGTTAGAGTCTGAGTCCTCTCTCTCTTACCTTGCATCTGCCACTGTTGCCCTGACGATCGCCCACACTGCCACAAAAACAGCTGGAACACCTGAAATTAGACATAATGCAAAATGAGATGTTTTGCAGGTGATGTCATATGTGCTGTTTACCTGATTTATTTCCCAGGCTGCACTTCACATTGTTTGTCGCTGTATCTCTGACACATCACAATACAGAAGGAGAACCAAGCTGAGGTGATCGTTACAATTTAAAAGCAGCCTGTTTGCTTTATTGACAAAAGTGTAAAACTGTTATTTTAAAATAATATTCAGTTACGACAGAGTGGATCCTGGTGAAAGGTGTTGTATTGGTGTTGTAAAAGGTCACATTACTCAAAGGTCACAAAGTAGGAGAAATAAAACCCGACACAGGCATGTTAGCTGATGCAGGCATCACACACAGAACATGACGTGAATGTAAACATCAGAGTAATCCCACATGCTGGTGACATACAAACACACTTAATTACACATTCATACTTCATGATATAACGCCCTCCTACCCAGCAGCTTTGATTCATGGCGAGTCTCAGAGCAGCACATTCAGCCTCTCCTGTCAGGCGTAATTCTTCTGTCTCTAAAGAGCTTTTGTGTGTTTTCTTATGTGTACACAAACACACATACAGGGACTTCCTAAAGAAACTTCCAACTGCACCGTTACTTTGTTCAAACTGTGTGGGTTGTTATTGATTTCCCTTCCACTCCACAGTTTCTAAACCATTTAAAAACACTTAAATGTACCAGTGTAAAAACAAGAGTAAATGCATTAACTATTCGACTAAGATTTGGTACCTTTGGGGAGTAATATGTTTAAACCTAAACTTTAGAGTGGTTTTGTAGATTAAGTTACACCACATTCTCATTCCCAGAGTGTTAAAGTCAGTTGTTTAGTCATAAATCCACAAGGACTCCTTTTGACTTCAGTGACTACAAGGTTTAAAGTTTCATCCTCCCGTGAATCTCTGGAGCACTTTAAGCTCAGCTGTTACTTCAAGATCGCTCCTTAAAATGCTTGCAGAGGGCAATTTTACCACGGCCAGCTACTTGTACAGCTGCTGTTATTGTGTATATATTTATTTAGATTTAGATTTCTTCATACATTCTTATATAGTTCTATATTGTGTATTTTGTTGCACAGTTATTTTATTTTCAACTTTAATTTATATATTTTATCTTATTCTTCCCAGTTAAATTTACCCTTCATTCTAATTTGTGTTGTACAGTTATTTCATTTTTAACCTTAATTTATATTTTATTCCTTCCTAGTTAAATTTACCCTTTTTAATTTTTCATATTTATTTCCTATCTTATTCATAGCCTTTCTTTTTTTGTTTTCTTTAGGTCACGAGCAGTTGTCCAAGCATTTCACTACATATCGTACTGTGTATGACTGTGTACGTGACAAATAAAATTTGAATTTGAATTTGAATTTAAACATCAGCTTCTTTCAAACCTTCAGATGAAGTATCGTGGTGGTTATTGTGCAGCTGGTGCTGAGAACTGGGTCTCCATCGATGGCTTAGTAGTTTTAAACTAGAAGTATGCTTGTTGTTCATTTCAACATTCCCAGAGCAGTGCACCATTTATGTCAACTGGAGTCAAACCGTACCATGGCGAGGTGGCTGAGAGGGAATATTCAGCAACATAACCGGAACCACGGCCAAACTTCACAGTAGTGTTCTTGTGCATCTGAATGGGTGCTACTTCAAAATCACTCCCTTTAAGCATGTTTGCAAGTCTGCAGTTTCGCTACTGTCCTCAAACTTGTTTCAGTCCTGCATGTTGACTGTCATAGTTGGAGCCTGAGCACTAAAAGTCCAAATGCTCTATTGCACAGGTGTCAAAGTCCAGGCCTCGAGGGCCGGTGTCCTGCAGGTTTTAGATGTGTCCTTGATCCAACACAGCTGATTTAAATGGCTAAATTAGCTCCTCAACATGTCTTGAAGTTCTCCAGAGGCCTGGTAATGAACTGATCATTTGATTCAGGTGTGTTGACCCAGGGTGAGATCTAAAACCTGCAGGACACCGGCCCTCGAGGCCTGGAGTTCGACACCCCTGCTCTATTGTATCTGCTCTGTTTACTAATTCGTCAAATGAATTAGCTTTTTGGAGGCCTTAACATGCAACAGCTAAATCACAGAATTTAGCACACACATCAGGTCTGGTAAACATAATTTCCTTAGAGATTAATAAAGTATTCTGATTCCAATTCTGGAAGAAAAAAAATTACATGTTTATTGGTTTGGGGTTTTCAAAATGCCACTTTTGCAGGTTATAAATAAGTATTATGGACACACAGTTTGAGGTACATGAATGAAATTTGGTACATATGTGTAACATGCAAAGACGGACAACAAAGTCTATGGCCTCCCTGACCCAACAGGAAGTCTGCCATATTGAACTGAAAATGGCTTTTTCAAACTCCACGTAGAGATTTTATCGAATAAAACTCATATTCAGTCAGTTTAAACTACAGACTTGGGCAATATTAAACTGCTGAACTTGCATTACACGCACATTGTCTAATCTCGACCCAACTTTTCAGGTATGATAAGGATTTACCCCTGAACATATTTTAATTGTAATACTTAATAGCTGTCATAGTGCCAGGAACAGGACATGCAATGATTTCTGCTCCCAGTTTGACCAAATTCATCTCAAAAGTGGTCAGAATCAACATCAGATGGTGATGATGCTTCAGTGTGAAACTGTAAGCAAAAAAATAGTGCGCTTGATATACGAGTCTCAAATTTGGCAGCCTTACGTAATACCTCAAGATGTAGAAAAAAATCTCTTGGAGCCATGTCCCAAAGCCAGCAGGAAGTCAGCCATACTGAATTTAAGAATTTATTGATGTGTACTTTAACAAACCCCACCAAAACATTTTGTCAGATCAACATGAACAATGGTGATCTGACAAAGTGCAAACTGAACTCCTTGGTGATATTAAACTGCGAAGATTTTGAGTTTTTATGAAAGGTCATGGTGGCATGACAAAGTTCAATTATTCATCACAGGACGCACCTTGTCCAGTCTGTCCCTAACTTCACGTGCTGCATAGGACACGCCTACGTGCTAATATTAGGTCACACAGTAGGTAATAATCATCATTTAATCTACGTGAAATTTAAATTGTTTGTTCCACGCCTGGTATACATTAGTGTGATATACGGTTAGACAACTGACAAACAGTGGGCACAGAAGGTGTTCAGTAAGTAAGTGACGCAGCACCCAATTAGCTTCCTAAACTGAAAACAGCCACATGTCCGTGTGAGTCTAGTCAACCGCAGCATGCCCGAGGCGTAGCTCAGCTCGACCTCAGCACGGGTCGGCTGAAGCTGGCCTGGACGTGTGGCAGGGTGCGAGGGCCCTCTCGTCGCTTTTTGCAGCTTTAATTGGTCATTAAATCTGAGTCTCCATGTATGTCTGATTCTGAATTTTTAGCAAGTTTCAATTAAAGAGTCCAGTTTCCAACCCAGAAAGCAATGAACTGGGTCAGAAATGCAATCAGCAGCATACGTGTCCTGTTTATTCCCACATTCAGAGTTTTCCACTGCGAATTAATCCAAACGCTATCCCCGATGCCTGAGAAAGCACATGTGGGGTAAAAGATTTCAACTCTGGTTTCTGCCATCAACCCACAGTGCTGTCATTCTGCACGCACAAAACAGGGATTTTATTTTTTCTGATGGTTTGCAACTTTTTGCACTTTCACACAGTGAAAAAGGTGTTGAATGATTGCTGTGCTGATACACTGGCAGAGATCCAGTGAACATCGCAGGGGCACCTGTGCAATTTGACAAAATGGGACTTTCAGTGAGCCACTAAAAACAGCCAGACTGGAAGCCAGTTGAACATGACCTTAAAGGACCCTCTGATTCATTAGATAAGCATCAGGGTTCCCAACCCTACCCATAATTCTGGTGCCTAAGCTAACCAGAGTGAATGCTGATGTAAAAAGCCAATGTTGCTTTTCTTCTCAAAACCTTGAGCCACTGCATCAAGGCGCCAACGTCAAATGTGTGACAGAATTGCACTTTTTGATGCTGTGGAGATGATAATATTTTAAATTGCTCCACCAGAGACCATAACTATCTGAGAAGCACAGATACTAGCAAATATTACTCTGGGGCAGGAAAGGAAACAACCCACACTGTCACTGTGTGAGAAGCTAAGACGACGATGTGAGATCCACTTTTGCAAAAAGAGAAATTAAATGTGACAGAACCATTTTTTCTTCCTCTGACATCATTAGCAGCAGCATTTATAATGCACGTATTCTATTGCCACTTAACTCATTAAGCAACTCCTCAAATCTGTCACATGCTCTAAATTGTATTTGGATGCATGTGGAATTACTGATGGTGTCTCCTGTTCATGCGGCTTCACAAACAGACGTGATAAGATTGTGACTGTCGTTGGCCGAGATCAGCTCCTCATACCTCTTCCCTCTATCATCACTATAAACCCCTTCTCTAAATGCAACAGCTTCAATATTGTTAGCATAATTAATCACTGGAACTTTAATCAGGTGATAAGTGGTCCCCGTCCTTCAGTATGTATATTCTGCAGACCAGACATTTGAAATGAATTCTGTATCTTATCTGCAGCTCCAAAGACAAAATGAAGAAAGAGAGAGAGGTTGGCAGAGCTTAAAGGGAGTGTGGGAGCAGAGAAAAGAGCAGGGATGTAATCATGATCTTGTGTTAGTCACCGAGTTTCTTCACTGGGAAAGCTAATGGCTTATAGATATTTTGCAGCGAGTGCTTGACGATAACTGCAGATGGAAACAAAACACCGTGTTGTTACAGGAACCGTTGGGCTTTCATCTAAAACATGACAAATTAAAAATGTGCTAAAAGTCTGTGTTTAGGGCAACTTTACCAATAAGACGACTTAAAAATGGTTGATAGTGAACTCTAACAGATATATCTGCAAAGTGTTTTACCCTGCTGGGGAATGCTTCCCCCTCTTATCTCTTGCTGGTGTCATGCTGTGGAGCCAAAGCAGCTCAAAAACGTGTGCTGAAAAAATAATTAGTTCAAAAGAAGGCAGGGAGTGGCGGCATCATTATGTGGATTCATCCCCTCCTGTGAATGAACACATGGATTCATAAAAGACAAACCACAAGCCAAAGAATGGCTGTAAATTATGCAAATATACAAATCAGCTTAAGAAAATGCATCGCATTCCCTTTATATTCCTCAGTCATAAATTTTAATATTATCATTTGGAATATGGAGGAATTTTACAGTAACTTTTTGAGAATGTTTTAACGTGTCTGTAAAGCAAATTTCAGTTAATGAATCAGGCGACCCCAAAGACTTGAGCAGAAAGGCTATTTATTTTACAGAAATAGTGCTTTAATGATTTAAAAAGTAAATGAAATTTTTTAAAAAATAAATGTCTGATTTAAAATATGTTTAAAATAATAAAGTTTGTACATTTTTGCTTGAACTGTTAATCCATTATTTTCCAAATGTTTGTTAAAGCTCCTCCTCAAATAACCAGAAGTTCAAATTTATAAATATTTCGCTACATGATTATAGGCAGATTATATAATAATTCCCAAAAGCTTTAATAGTTCATGGATAAACAGCTGAAAAAGCAAACAGAGATGTAAACGTACAGACATGAAAATGAAAGCCTATATTAATCTTTTTAGGAGCACAGAGTTCTGTAAAGAGATCCGTAGACTCCATGCTGATAAATGATAGAAGCGCCTTTAGCAGCAGTAACAGAAGAATTCATTTTCTGTATGATTTTATTTTTCTCTCACATTGTTGGAGGAATTCTGGCCTGCTCTACTTCGCATCCCTGCTTCAGTTCATTGAGGTTTATATCTCTCTGGTGCTTTCACAGCATTTCAAACAGGTTTAGGTCTGAACTTTTGACTGAACCGCTGCAGCGCCTTCTTTCTTTTCTATTTCAGAAAATATTTTTTTATATAGAGGAGTTTATGGTTGACCGAGTGCTGGAACATCAGTAAAAACACCTCAAACTCTGCCTTCTCCTCTTTGGTCTCTTTGGTCTGGTGGCCATTGTTTCAGAAGTCTTGTGGTTTGCAAACCTCAGGCTACGTTCACTCTGCAGGTCTTAATGCTCAATTCCGATTTTTTGATCAAATCCGATTTTTTTTTGTCTGCTTGTTCACACTACAAATAAAATGCGACAGCAAACGCGCTCTAGTATGAACGCTCAAAGCGGCCGCGTGCGCAAAAGAAGACGCCACACACAACGCGCTCAGTTTAGACCCAGACCAACAGTATTGTTTGACTGATGGACCTTAATATAAAGACTTCGGTCTTTACGGTCTTTACATTTTCTTTGTACTGTATAATCTGCAGATTCTGACAGAAATCTGCAGATTATACAGTACAAAGAAAATGTTCACGTTGTCTTCCCAACAGTTTCACACACTTGCAAGTAATCAATTAAGTGCATCTGATTAGCAGCACCTGGCTGCTGCACAACCTCTTAATTCCTATAGAACCAGTAACGGTGCACATAGTTTTCACAGGACTGCATTTGATCACATTTGAACTTTCAACGCAGTTTGATGGAGGAGTCAATAAAAGGTCTATTATTATTTTATATTTTAGTATTTTATTACAGCTGATGTAGTCCAACATTAGTGACTTAAAGTAACTACAAGTAAAGAAAACCAGAGGAGACGGAAAAGTAATGTGAATGCTCTTTGCTCTTTGCTTGTTCATGCGGCTTCAAAGAAACAAACGAAAAATACGTTGTGGGGAAAAAACCCTTTCATCTACTTTTCTTAACAATGCGACACACTCCTTTGCAAGGACAGAACAAAAACTTGAACAAAAACACAAAACAAATCTGTTCTGTTTCAGAAGAAACAACATAATTTTATTCCAAAAGTCTTTTTTGCTGCTTTTGATGTGATGAATTACACAACTGCCATCAAAACAACAATAAACTGCAGATATAAAACTGACTTCTGTTAATCACTCACTTAACTCTGCTCAAAAGGTTTGGAAATTCCCCCACACAGCAAACATCAACTATATTAATGAGTCTCTTCTCTGAAGCATGTTGGAAAACATTAAGCGCTGTTTTACATATGGTGTCATATTGTAGTTGCAATGAAGCCATAAACTTCAGAACTGATGCTTTCGTCACGTTTTGTCCTCCTTCATAACTGCGTTATGTGTAATGTAATCTTTTAGTGCTTACCCCATCCGATGAGTATCAAACCCCAGAGGTATTTGGAATCTGATCGGAAGGCCATGAAGATGAGACTGTGGAGATAAAGGCCTTCTACCAGAATCCAGTAGTAATTTGTAGCCAGAAAGTAGATGAAGAGCAGCACAGTCACCTTGCAGCCAATCTGAAAGCATTAACAGTTTTATCAGATCCTATTTGAAACTAGTATTATGCAGCTTATTATGCTGTTATTTTGCATGTCTGTGTGTTGACACACGCGATGATCACAGTACTTCAAAGTATTCAAACACCACAGGTGATCATAAGAGAGGAAATGATCTCATTACAATCAGAAGCAGCTTGCTGTATAAATTTGCACAAATATGTTATTAACTAGAACGTAAACACAGAGTAAAGCAGCTTCTGCTAACTATGTCATTGTTTGTGTATGATTCCAAGATTAGTGACATGTACAGGCTATGCCCACTAAATTTTATACTGTAAAGGTTTCAGACGTAAACTGGATTGTTTTCTTTGTCATTTTTCATCTCTGAAAATTAAAATCGTATGATAGAAGTCTGCTAAACTCACTACTCAGTTGTTACAATTGAACTGACACTATATAGATTAAAGTAGTGGGACTGAAAGCACCGGGATTTAAAGATTAAGAAATGTGGCCACAAACTTTTTATTACAGGGCTATTTAAATGCAAAAAGTTTAACTTACAAGGTTTTTCAAGTTAACGAAAGTGTGGGGGGAAATAGATTAACCACATCTCAAAAAAAGAGACAAAAAAACCCAAAATAACTCGTATTATTGTATTCTAGACACCCAGTTTAACTCTAAGTGTGCAAACCCAGTCCTAAAACTGTAAAAAATTGTTTCCTTAAAAACAAATCTTTAAAATTAATACAACACATATTATAACCCTGGTAATTTGTGCAAATTAAATCTCCAAAAGTTGATTCTGTTCATCTGGATGTTTTCAGTGGGAGAAATGTTTCATCATCATCCAGGTGACTTCTTCAGTCTCAGCTGACTGCAGGTTTCAATCTTATAAACAGGACATTTGCATAATGACTGAAACCAGCACCACTGAATGAACAATGGGCTGGGAGGTCAGTTCTTTCATCATTAATATGCAAATTCTCCTGGCCATTGATCAACAACCACTGATCAATGGCCATGAGTACCAATCACATTAGACTTTCATACTCAGTCCTGCTACAGTCCAGCCTGTGCATTCACTCGGGGACCAAACAACTCCTAAGTGTGCCACATATATGATTTGTTTACCTCCACTGTGTGGAGAATAGTTTGACACTAGAAGTCTGCTCTCACATTCAGTGGGGAAACCTTCTCACAGGGACGAGTCACACACTGAATTAATGTTTAAAGGAAAAAGCAGTGAGACTTCTCCTGCAATGCAGTCATTGCAGGAGAAGTCTCACTTAAAACGTTACTGCCTCTTATTTTCAGTCTGGGATGTGAAAATAGGACATTTTCTGTGGAAGTGTCCTGCCAAAGGTGAGAATGTGTTTCCACCCATTTCCATATATATACAGTACACAATCTTGCAGAACTCATGCAAGTAGATGCTTCATTATACATCACAGGCAGTATGTGATGGTATAGGTTGTGGCTCCGACTGTCTCAGACTCAAAGGCTGAGTCATTCAAGTATTCAAGCGATTATCTCAGTTTCCTGGAGCAAATATGCTCCAGCTACAGGTACGTGGACTCCAAACGAAAGGTTTCACCTTGAAACATGTTGCTCATCAATGAATATTCATTGTATTTCCTTCTGGAACTTTACGTTTTCTTACCAGATCACCTTATTTAATCATTTAAATTAACAAGCTTATGAGGGTGGAATTGCTCCTCTGAATAATATGAATACATTTAAATAACTAAATCAGCTGGTACAGTAAGTGCAAACCGAATAATTAATACTAACAATGCTGCTTACAAGACTCTAAGCTTTAAACAGGAAAAACAAGCTCTGCTCTTGTTTGCTACAGCAAGACAAATGAAATTTAAATACCAAATACAAGGTGTCTGTAGCTGGGATAATAATGTAGTCTAAAACTGGTGACTTACACAAATTAAATACACACAAATGGAAGAAAACCCAGGATAAACAAACAAATCTAAAGTGAATGTCATTTCTCGTTGCGTACGTGTTCATGTGGCTTCAAAGAAAGGAAGAAAAAAAATCAGGAGAAAAACCTTTCATCTGCTCACTTTAACAATGTCTCATCCTTCTTTTCAAGGACAGAAAAACCTGTAACACAGCCAGCAGTTCTGTTTCATGTCATCATGTTATCGGTACACATAAACACCCAAGTCACCTGTTATTAACATCATAATTAGGACTAATAGAGCTGTTTACAACATTCAAATTAACCTACGAGGGATCAAGCAAAAAAAATAAATGGATAAATAAATAGAATTGTTAACCCATCCTCTGAACGTCACACAGGTTAAATGCATCTGCAGTACCGTCAAACCATTAGAAGTTTTGGCGTCACTGTCTACGTCAAGCTGCTCGGGGTTATAACTGAATCAGACTCCATTTTATTAGACATTTCTCTCTGTTTTTGTTTCATAGAAAATTCTCTAAAAACATCCCATCGTTGTGTTCACTGTGTACTGTTCTGCTTCTTCATATTCAGATCCACATGTCCTGCGACATTCAGTTCATGCTTATTTTGTGGGGATTTTTCATCAACGTTTTTGTTGTTATGGTGTCCACCTGTGCTCTGTGGTGCTCTCTGTTGTGTTTTATTTTGAAAGTGTCTTGTTCTGCTTCCTTTGTCTGGTTGGTTCAGTCTCAAACATCAACCCAGTGATAAAAAAAACACTTTTTTTTTCAGTGATGTCACCTGATTGGTCAGCAGCAGAGCTTTGAGGTCAACAAGTTTAAAGACTTCCTGTCTGATGTTAAGGACCTCACTTTGAATCGTGGGACTTTTGCTCAATGTTTTGGGTTTTTTGGTCTCGAGTTCTGTTTGTTTCTTTGTTTCATCTTTGTGTTTTTCTTCTTAGTTTGTTCTTATTTTATTCTCAGTTGTGATTAATCTTGTCTTGGGTCTAAATCCTGGCTGCTGCACAGCCGTGACATTGACATTGTCAAATAACCTGTTACTCATTTTTTTAATTCTTCTGATTTTATTTAAAGTTTGGGGTGGTTGCTTTGCCCAAAGATTTTCTGTTCTTAACTTTTTTTTCTGTACTGGATTTCTTCTGAGGCAACCCATGTTTAATGTCCCAGCACTGTGTTGTGTGAGTAATTCCCTCAGGCCACTCTGCAGACGTTTGGACTTGGAGAAAGTTTGTACGAAGGCTCAAAATATCCACCAAAGGGTCCTCGCGCACTTGACAAATTGACCGTGGGACACCCATAAGCCCTCACAGACTTAGCTGGATGATGCTTCAAGTGTGTGAGGGTGGACACTGAGATTAGGTCTTTTTCTTTGTGATTTCATGATTGTTTCCACCTGATCCTCATCAGCCCTGTGTGCATATTTATTCCTGTGTTGCCGTCTGTTTTTGTTAGCTTGTTTGTTTACGAGCACCTCAGCAGTTCTCGCTGCTTTCCTTCCTTTGGCACGCTTTCTGATGTTTGAGTTTGTCATTTCTCTTGGATTCATTTTACCCTACTGTGCTTTTGAGGATTTTTATAATTCAATCAATACTGTTTTTTTATTTGCATCTGAAAAATCAGGTTCAATTCAAAAAATAAATGCTGCAAATTCATCCTGTGAAATTATATGGTTGGTGTGAACGGCTACATTAAGATCTGAAATATATTAATGTGCAAAATATTTGCATGAATTTTATATGTCCAGTGAGTAAAATCAATTTTTCTTAGAAATAGACAGAAACAAAATCTGGCTTTGTTGTGTAATGACACCTGATGATCCTGATTAAAGTCACTCATTCCAACAAACACTGTACCACATCTCTAATTTGGATCTTATTTAATGTGCGTGGTACTTACATACTGCGACTTGTCCAGTGATGCTATGCTAACAGTTTTTAAGCTGTCGAGCAGAGCAGAGTCCAAGTCCTGCAATCCCGCCCTGGAATACACAACTTTGTCCTTCACGAAGATGCTGACTGCTCGTAGCATGAAGGAAACAAAGAGGTGCATGTGGATGTAGTTTCTGGTGCAGTGAAGACGCCTGCCACACAAGCAAAGACAAAGTTATAAAAACTGCAAAGCATTTCTCATAAATGATGAAATGAGTCCAAGGCTACCCTTGTGGCACTGTTGAGCAGAAATGCAAAAAAGTATAAAAACATGATCTCATGACCACAAACACCAGTAAAGCCGGAGTTTAAACGATCTTCTTCCCTCCTGTGTCATCTCTGTAACGTCAGCTATAGGAGTTGAATGGGTATATGTGTGTTCCATTTAACAGAAAATAATCCACCAGTTTTATGCAACATTCAGCCTCAACAGGAAGAGGAGCTGGTGAATAGTAGATAAACAGAGCTGACAGAGGGGACGAATCCTCAGCGATCCTGTCTATTTCTGTCAGAGGAGTGAAACTGTCGATGCAGCACATGCCTGCCCTGTAAATCATCGACGTACAGAGCACCGTGACACACAGGTGTACTGAGTTTTTCCACCGTATGGCCGGTAAAGAAACTGTCAAGGATTTTCAAACTGTCTCATTGTAAGCACGGGTCTCTGGCTATAAAACTGTGCAAGGATAAGAGTACGCCTCTGTTAAAGCCAGCGCAGCACTTCTATATCTCTGTTCTGTTTTGCTGCAGTAAACACAGAGAGCATTAAAAACTGTAAAGCCTTGCAAACAAATATTCACTATTTAAGTATTAGTGTTGCTGTCCCTGCTCCTGTTGTTCCTGCATATAATTACCACGAGCAGTACAGGAACATGAGGCAGAGAGAGAGAGGGGGGGGGGTCAATTTAAGAACAAATCCTTGCAGACTCCTGTTAAACGAGTGGCCAAGTCATTGTCTTCAGGGTTGAAGATGATGCAACTGTTTGGTGTATTTTACTCAACAGTTGGGGTTTGTTCAAACGTGTGACTGAAGCTCAGCTTATGTGTTTTATTCTTCCTTAATTGGATTTTAAGAAGTGGTAAACTGTGGTAGAGAACACCGAGGCAGCTGCGCTCCGACGGACCTTTCAAACATGTGTAGTGTTTATATTTCATGCCTTCACAGTATGATGAATTCATAATGTCTCCACCTAATTTTCAACTGCAAATGCATAAAGTAAGTTTAAATAACCAGATGTTTTTTCCATAATTTATTTTCAAGAGAGCAGGGAGGAGGTTGTTGTTGTTGTTGTTGTTGTTGTTGTTGTTGTTGTGTTTGTGTTTTGTTTTGTTGTTTGTTTGTTTTTTGGGGGGGGTGGGAGGGATTAAGACACTTTTTGATGACCATTATCTTGTCCTGTTTTACCCAAATATGACAACACGACAGCCATACAAACATTATTTATTATTTATTTTAATGAAAGTGTAAATGACAATTTATATAACCATGTTTAACCCTTACATCAGTTAAACACTGTTCTCACTCCTATATACTGCCATCTATAATTGGCAGTATTATTTCATCATCATCACTCAGACCACAAAACGTTAAAAATAATGACTGCAGACTCGTCTCTGCATTCAAACTGCTGTCAAACATCAAAACTGACCTGAACAGTATGTAAAAGCCATGACTTGAAGTTTCTGATACTTCAAAACAATTAATCCCTGTGTGTTTTTGTTTTTTCCTACTCTGGAAAACACTGCACTGCTCAGCACTGCTGACTGTGGCTTGCATAGGGTTAATGTACTGCAGCTCTTTAAAGGGCGCTTTACATTTTCTAACACACATTGTGTACATTATCTCTAGAGACAAAAACTGAGGCAGACAGCAGCGGGAGCTTTGAGGGCTGATAAAGAATCAGAATCAGAGATTTGTCGGCACTTTAAGAAGTCAGAAACACTGGATTTAAGGCCTGTATTTGTCAAACGGAGCCTTGATGGCTCTTTGAAATTTCAGCTGCAAATGATCCAGAAAATGTGCTCTGTTTGAAGTTTCCCTTTTTAAACATGCATCTCTGATCACCTCGGGCACTTTAGTAGCATCTGAAGAGTAAGAGGATGTTGACTCAACTTTCAGCTTCCATCTCTCGCAATCAAATCCAGCAACCCAGTCAAAACTTGGTGTTAAAATCAGGAGGAAGTTTACCTACACACAGGATACCCATCAGTGGTGGCACAGAGCTCATTGTTCTGGATTATTTTTATGCAGAAGGCAGGAGAGGTGCTTCTAAATGGGAACGTGTAACACTCGTGTTGCATAAATGATCAGTTCTTACACTCAGGTTTTAAATCTTAAGAAATGCCATCTTCAGTTAAGTGGGTTTGTGTGTGATATACAATTTCAGGTGGGCAGGGATTTCCAAAAGGTTTTTGAAGTGTTGATGGGATTATTACACCTACCGTAACACGCCATAATAAATCTGGAGAGCCCTGCCAGTGGAACTGCAAAATTAAAGGCAGTTTGAAATGATCGCCTCCTGTTTACTTGCATCTCTCTCAGGTCCATGTGAAACGAGGTTTTCATCTACATCAAAGCTTTTATTTTCATAATTTAAAATATTTCTTTACACTTGTTTGAATCGTCTTATGTAAGGAAGCGAGCGGTTACAGTAAGTCACATAATTTGCAGAGTCTTTTTCAGATGAATGTGGTTGGCCGCTCCGTCTCCAGTTACCGGCTCATTAGAGGTATCTTCCTGTTGCTTGGATATAACCTGCCTTCAGAAATACTAAAAATAACTGAGCCCATGATTCTGCAGTTTCCTTTTCAAGGTTACTTAAAATAATATCATTCAGAAGCTGTTATTCGTTAGAACTAATCAATTTAAATCGAACCAGTTAAAAAATTAATTTACCCTAATCAGTGATGGACATTGATAACTTTGGCCATTGATGGTGATTTTGAAGATCAGATTCTGTATCCATTCCTTTACTGGTTTCCACAGATGTTCAGCAAACCACTTTTATTCCCTGAGTGCAGAAGCACAGCAGGAAAAAGTCCTTCATGTGGTCCAGGTGAAAAGCTCCACTGGCACCACTTTCAACATTAATAGTGTGAATGCCGTGACTGAGATCCTGTTTCTCTGTAAACTTTAATCTTCTACTTTATTCTAGTTGCTCCGTTTCTTTGCCGCTTAACTACTCCCTCAGTTTTCATTCGATTTTCACCATTCAAATTTTAAGCTCTTCTGCTAATGCCAGCTATATCTTTTGGTGCTGATAACTTTTATACTTTTTGAAATATTAAACTTTCTATGTCATTTTTGACTCATTTTAATGAATGGGACCACATTAGCAGTGTGATCACCAGGTTAGCTTGCCGGGCTGAGCTGTGTTTTAGCTCAGTGAGATGAGCAGCCGTTTTCAGAGCAGGAGGGTTCGAATCCCACACCATTTTTTTCAGTAAACACTTTAACTTTTTTAACACTTTTCAGAACAAATTTCAGCTTCTACACCCCTTTTCAGCAGAAATTTTAGCTTTTTCACCTCTTTTCAGCACAAATTCCAGGTTGTTCAGCGGTTTTCTGCAACAACTTCAGTTTCTTCACCTATTTTCAGCAGAAACTTCAAGTTCCGCTCTTTTCAATTTCAATTCAATTTCAGCCTCTTCTGCTCTTTCAGCAGAATTTCAGCCGTTTCGCCTGTTTTGAGTATACAGTTCTGCTTCTTCACCTCTTTTCAGCACGATTCAGCTTCTTCGGGACCCTGCACATTTTTTCTCTCACCATATCTGTCTTTGGGACAAGAACTAGTTTGGCTCAGTGAGATGAGCAGCTGCCGTGAGACCTGGTGGTGCAGGTTCAAATCCTACCTGTGGCTGTTGTCACATGTCTTCTCTGCTTGCACTCAGTGTGCTTTATTGATATTTTTCAGTGTACCCTTTCAAATACAACGCTTTTCAGCAAAGACTTCAGTTTCTACAAAGTGTTTTCAGCAGATAGTTCTCCTTCTGCTGTTTTCAGATTCCACTACACGGCATTCACACTGCATTTTCACAGGAAATGCAACTTTTTCTAGATTAATTTATTAATTTAAAAAAAGAAGAAGCTTGGAAACATATCCAAATAAAAACTACTACAAAACCACTATTTACAATTTCTTTTGGATGACATCTTTCTTATGTATTTGTGTTTTATCTACAAGGCCGTTTATTTTTCTTTATTTGGATCACAAATGTAAAAACCTGTAGCAGTCATGGATAAATGCCGGGGTTCTGGTCAGAGTCAGTCTGACACATATTTTGTTAAAGCTAGCCATCGGTCCGATCCCTTTTTCAAGAAGAAGGCACAAGGTTTTTAAAAGTCGATGTTTACAGTGTATTTACAACTTCAACAGTACACCGTATCAACAGAGAGATTGCCCCTTTCACACTCAGTCCCACCAAAATCTAATTCTCAGTCTTTCCAGCCAGGCTGTTTGCAACAGTTGGCATGGTATTGACTGCTTACCAGGATCCAAGCTCTGTGCAGATGGCGATGCAGGGAATGACGAACTGGAGGGGAAGTGTGCACGACTTTGTTTTGAATTCTTGGATCTGGTAATTAGGGATGTGTTTGCATGACACTACACAGGATGTGACTTGTATGCTAACCTCATAGCCAGATAAGAATGGCTCCCTGTGTCCTTGTGTATATTGTTTAGTATGTTCTCATATTTCTGGTATTTTCTGATTGATTTCTTAATGTTCTTAGTTGGTTTATGATTGTCCAGTTTTTTATTCCTGGTTTATAATAAGTGTCAGTTCCTATTTTGAGTTTTTCTTGCACCGTTCCTGTTGAGGAACACAGGATGTCTTTGTGAGTTTCATTTACCTTTGCAAAGGGGTCAAACAACATGCCAGTAGCCTGCATTTTGACCAAGAGGGACTGCAAGCCTAGAATATTTATACAGACAAGCTATCTTTCTGCCAGGGTCCGAGCGCTGTGTAATAAAAGATAACTCGTACATCAACACGTGGTATTTCTGAAAGATTACATGGAGACAGAATATGACAGCATGTCAGAGCCTTTCATTCGGCACGGTCAGCTTGACCCGGAGAAGCAGCGGTCTTAAATTTTCCATTATGTTCCTTCAGTCTTTCGTTCTTGGTCGTTCATCCGTCTCATTTCCCTACGCTTATACATTTGCCCTCTCTGTTCGCCCGTGCCTCTTAATGTTTCAGTATCTGTGTCTAGTAGTTTTCTATTTCCTCTTTTATTTTGCAGCCTGATTTCCCTTCATGGCATTGATTAGTTTTACTTCCACTTTGTGTTTGTCATGATTGAGCTCGCCTGTGTAATCCCCCTCACCTGTTCCTTGTGTGTATTTATAGTATTTGTCTTCTTGCAGCCTCCCTGCATGTTTCCCTCTCTGCTCTTCTTGGCTTTAGTTACTTTGCATTTTGGACTCTGTTCTCTTTTGGATTTGTTATTTTTGGGCTTTGATCAGACACGGCTCACATTTTTGTTCTGTCCATTCTGCCTCTGAAAGCTGCGTTCTGGGTACTCATATCTACGCTCCAATACGACAGGACAAAGTAAAAAATTTACATCAACTGTCGAAACTTTCAAAAATGTGGCTGTGGTTCTAAAATAATTGCTAAGGGAAAATCTTGGCTCCTGAAGGTCAGTTTTGCTACATCTACTGCTGCACTGCCACTGAACGTCAACACTGCACATAAAATGATCTCTACTTGTCTCATGTGGACATACAGATGAGTCATTATTTATTCTGCTAATCTCTAACATGTCCAGTAGAGTGGATGTGTTTTAGTTTAGATCTGTAATGAGCACATCTTACATTTCCATATGCAGATGTGTGAGACGGCAGCGTCCCCATCACCACACTCTAAATTAGACTAATTAGCATTCTGCCATTTGAAGTATACTCAACTCTGCATCCTCTAGATGTGGTTCGAAACGGTACATGATTCAACAGGACACAAATATTCCAGCTGACGAGGGAGCTGACAGAGGCATCACAAGAATATAAATATCCCGGCTGCTGGGGAATTTTCATAACCTGTAAAGTTCAAGTCAGTAAGGCATTAAATGTTGCTGTTATTTTTAAGTTCCTGCCACTGCTGGTTTTCAGAATCCAAAGCAGGATGTGCAGCAGGAGTCCGGCTCCCACTGATGTGTTTTCTATCTGCAGAAGCTCAGATTTGACAAACTGCAGTTTATGATTTAAGCAAAAACAAAAACTGCTCTCTTACCGGAAGTATCCAATGATCATGATGGCCACTAGCAGAGAGCTGAAGGACACGGCATAGCCAATGGTATACATGACGTACAGACGCTCAAAGAAGTCTTGCTGTGACAAGAAAGAGAGACATTTCCTATTTAGTCAACTTCTGAACAAGACTGGTACAATTTACACAATCATGACTCACAATGGTATGGTGGAAAAAACGGGGCTGCAATGAGAACATGACAGCCCAGCACGAATGGAGTTTAATTAAAACAGAAAAATGAGTCAGCATTACATCCCTAATCTTTGATAGAGTAGAAATTACTTCAGGAGTTTTAGCAGCAAATCCATTCCCTGGAAATCTAAGATAATGTAATCTCTACGAGGAGTGGTTAGGCTCAAAGCAGCCAGAAGATCCAGCTGATACCAAAAACAAAAGATGGCTATAAGTCTCTCTTCCTGGTAATGTTTTATTTTCAGAGCAGATGACATCCCCAGGGTAGTGTGGTTGCTTAGATGAATAGGTTGAATATGAAAAGCTGTGTGGAGTGAAATTAAAAGGCTAATTTTATAAGAGAATTATTAATTTTCTTGACAAAATTTTAATTCTTTGTAAAGAAAAATGATGATGGAGGGAAATTAAGGCTGAGCTGATCCATCATTTATAAAGCGACAGACCTGGAAGTCTTTTTGTTAAACATGCCTCAAACTAAATTTGAGATATTAAGCACATGTTAGGCTTATCGTTAAAAAGCTGTACCAGTCGCTCAAAGTCAGTTGTGATTTCACAAAAGCTGCAATCGAGCCAAGTTGGATGAAGGACTCGGAGGCTTGTAGATTTGATTCTTCTATCTAAAGCAAGTTTGTGGAGAGCGTTTAGCAGGTTGGAGAGGCAAACGTTTTTATTTATAAAGTTACTATTTTTTTATTGTTTTCATGGAAACAGCCCAACTTTCTATAATTCATCACTGAATGGAAGCTTGTTATCTGTTATCACTCGGCTGCAATTTGTCACCCCTCCAAACTCGAGTGTCTCAGTAAAGCAAAGTCTCTGCAGCAGCACGTCGACTACTTTTTGTTTCCTACTACAGTACATCCACTCCTGACATGAGGCATCCAAAGCTGGCAATTAGCCGGTGAACACAGCAGCAGTTAGCAGCTAAAAAGTCAAATATTTCTCCCTGGAGCTGTTAGAGACGCACACAAAAGACCTAAGGAAACACATGGTACCGAGTCCAAATACTAATGATGCTCCATTTATCTGTCTGCTGTGTGAATATGTGTGTGAATACACTTACAAAAGCTGCTTTAAAAGGTGACGTGAAGGCATATTAATGTCACTAATGTAGTGTCAGGTTGGATAATCCATTTATTATTCATCTCTGTCCCTCTTCCACAGCATGTCTTTATCCTGTCTTCCTTCTCTCACCCCAACCGGTCGCAGCAGATGGCCCCGCCCCTCCCTGAGCCTGGTTCTGCCTGGTTTCTTCCTGTTAAAAGGGAGTTTTTCCTTCCCACTGTCGCCAAAGTGCTGCTTATAGGGGGTCATATGATTGTTGGGTTTGTCTCTGTATGTATTATTGTAGGGTCTGCCTTACAATATAAAGTGCGTTGAGGCGACCGTCGCTGTGATTTCGCACTGTATAAGTAAAATTGAACTGATTAACATCTTATATGTGTAGCAGGCAAAACAAGGAAAGGGGAAAAGTAACTGAAAGTAACTTTTAGATGAAATATGAGAATTTAAATGGCTGTAAACAGACGGATGGCGAGATGAAAATTTCTCCAATTATTGAGATTTTGTATCCTTTTCTGCCTTCAAATGGCTAAAATATCAAAATCTGCAGTTAAAATTGATATTTTCATAATGAATCATACCAAACAGCACACTAATCACTATGGCGGATGCTAGGCTTTATTGATTAATATGTTTGATCTTCAAGAGATGCAGACTGTCTGCATGATTACATGTTTTTAAATTTTATTTATTTTTTGGTTGCTTGGAGCACAGTGTCCTTATTTGTCCTGAAATAATTCTGCTATATGATTAGTCACCAGCTTCTGAGAACACTTTGTTTGGTTTCTTTATCAAATGTCTGCTTTGTATTTTATTGGGGGGGCATATATGGGCGGACGGTACCGTAGAGGATGTAAGAAATGCTTTTTGGAGCTGATTACTGAGTAGAAAATAAGACTGTCATAATCCTGCTGTACAAAAGTTAGCAGTATTTCAGATTTCCTTTAATCATTTTTCTTCTACAACCTGCGAAGGAACACATAATGAACACCTAACAACTCATAAATATGCAGCCTGTGATGAGAGCCTGAAAGCTGTGTTAAAGGATAACAAGTAAAAAGGGTGAGAACGTGAGCTTCAGAGGATGAGGAGCTGTTTGGTTGTTAGACACTTGAGGTAAGAATATGAAGCTCTGCACCACAAAACAGATGTTTGTGTAAGATGGAGCAGACGGGGCAGCAGATGTTTCAGAGAACATCCAGGCTTATTCACAGAGGTCTGCTCTATGTATGTTTATTGACCTGTGTGCAACACTGCGCGAGGCTTGATTCACCCCTCGTTTATTTACATTCAGATGGGAAAATGGAAGATATGGCAGCAATTTATCGAAACATGGAAACAGTATGTGAGGTGAAAGCACAGTTTGTACATTCTGAAAGAGCTTAAAAGTCAAAGAAATTGTATGGCTCCTTTTTTCTTCAGCACAGCCTGAATGCTGAAATCAGATGCTTTCCAGATAGGATTACACTGTAGATCTAAATCTAATGGTACTTTTCTGCGTTCATATTTTCAGTCGTTTTAACAAGCTCTCCAGCAACACTGGCTGAAATCCAGCTCCAACCCATCACAGAGTGTTACAGGCAAGTGTAGATACTCAGTGTACCTCCCCAGACCTCCTACAGACAACCCGATGAAGATCTGAACCAAATATTTTCAAATTTAGATTCATCACTCCACCCTGCCACTGACTTCCAGCCCAGTTGTCTCTTGTCTAAAGCACACATCAGGCGTTCCTCCCGCTTCCCTTCTCTAAAAATGACTTCTTGACAGCCACCCTTCCATTTCTGATGAGGCTTCGGTGAACAGCGGGTGGATCAGCTGAAGGTTCAGGTGAATCTCTCAGCTCCTGCGTCGGGTCTGTGTGGCTCTCAGACACTGTTCATCTGCAGTGGATCGTTTTTAGGCCTGTCACTTCTTCTTTTGTTCTCCACTTGTCTAGTGTCCTTAAAATTTTTAAGAGGCAACAATGCCAAGTTTTCAGCTTATAGCAGCGTGTTGGTGTAAAAATACTATTTCATGCCTGTCAAACTGTGTTGTCTTTGGCATTTTTCATGGTTTCAGCTAAAGAAACAGGAAGAAATGTGTCTTTGCAACAGGCTGCTTGTAATAAAGTGCCAAAAGATACAATTTAAATTTGGTTCTTTGTTGTCTCTTGTCTGTTTTAGACACATCTAGTTGCTTCATCTCTTGATTTAGGACCTTTTTTTGTTTTGTTTGAATGATTCAAAGCCAGTGTTGAGTTCCTTAATAATAGGGAAAAGGGTGGTGCAGTGGTGTGATCGTGCAGTATGCACCCGGGAAAGGTCGTCAGGCTTAAGTTAAGGGAAAGTCTGGCTGCTTGGAAGCAAAATGTACAGAAATGAGGTGTAGCTGGAGACTTTTACTGTATACTCACAACATTTCACACATACAGCTGCAACTTTAATATTTTATAGCGATACTTACTCTCCCATCTTCGTCACTGAAGGGCTGGAGAAAGCGTAAACACTCTGAGTAATTGGTCCATGTTTTGTTCCACTGCTCCACAAAGACCCAGGAACCGTTGATGTCACACTTCCTGTAAGCATGTCCTACAAAATGCCCATTTTAAAAATAAAAAATAATTTCACTCAAACAAAAACACCTTTAAAAAGGTTTAAGTAACTACCGTAATGCATAAATGGCCCAAACACATCTATTCTTACACAGGTGATCTGAAATTATTAATCACAATGAATAATAAAAACTACACCTTAGTTCTGTGTCGTGTATAAAAGGGAAAAAAAACATTTTTAATGCCTTTAAAAACCTTTTTACCTTCAATTCATTGTGGCTTTCACATCAGGGAAAGAACGGATGTAAATCAAACTATTAATGACTGAATTTAAAACATTAATGTTGACGCTCGATGTGATGGACAGAGTTCGTTCCACTTTAATTCTTTAATTTTTTTTCTTTGTGGCCTGAATATGAAGCTGAAATTATTCAAGAATCCTGCTGTAAGGACCACACAGTTTCACTAGTTATCCACCAAATATGATGTTCCACTTTTCTGTGAAGAACACATCAGAGCAAAATTTCTCAAAAAGCAAACTTTCATCTTGTCCAAGACCTTCAAAATCCTCAAAACTCTTTTTCGGATTGTACGCGCTACCTGAGAATATAACGAGTCGTGCTGAGAATGCTTGTATTAGATGTTCGCTGAACAGTTTGAGTTTTTCTTTGCATGTTAAGCTCTAATTCGGTGCTGGAAAAGAAAAGTGTTAACCTTGGTGATTGAAGTCATAGATGTACGATGGGCAGGGGACCTTGGTGATGAGCCCGGGGGAGCCGCGGGGCCAACAAATCAGACCGTCCCAGTCTGGAGGGCACACCTCATCTGCAGTGAGAAGATGAAGAAGTCAACACGTCACCGATATGATACCCTCTGTTTTTCCTATGTGTGCTTGTTTGTTTTACATGCCAAGAATATGGACTTCTATCATATATATCCATTCACACTGTGATGCGAATAGGCTTGTACGCTCACAGGCCACTTTGTTAGGTGCACCTGTTCAACTGCTCATTAATGTCGGCTCAGCACATCATTTAGCCATGTAGACATGGTCACAACAACCTGCTGTTCAAAGTGAACATGAAAGTAGCAAAGAAAGGGGATTTAAGTGACTTTGAATGTGGCATGATTGTTGGTTCAAGAGAGGCTGGTTGGAGTATTTCAGAAACTGTAAATCCTTGAGATGCTTTTCTCAGAAAATGCCAGCAGATCAACAAAGGTCTGTCACCCAGTGAGCGGCAGTTCCTTTGCACAAATGTCTCACAGATGTCAGGAGAATGGCCAAACTGCTTCAAGCTGACAGGAAGGCAACAGGAACTCAAATAGCCCCTATTCACACCTGAGGTATGCAGAAAAGCGTCTCTGAATATAATACACCGAACCTTGAAGCAGAAAACCACACCGGGGCCGCTCCTGACAGCTAAGAACAGGAAACGGGTTATAATTTGGTGTCGCCACAACAAGACAATAAAAGATTGGAAAACTGTCTCGATTTCTGCTGCGATATTCAGATTCAGGATTTAATTTAAAAACAAACAAGTGTGGCTCCATCCCAGGTCACCGGCTCAGGCTGGTGGTGAAACGATGTGGCGAATGTTTATTTGGACCCACTGTTTGAATCCCACAGCCTACCTGAGCGTTGTTGCTGAGCAGGTCCGTCCATTTACATCCACAGCGTTTCCATCACCTGATGGCTGGGTAACGCTCCGTGTCACAAAGATGAAATCATCTCAAACTGGTTTATGAAACATGAAAATTAGCTCTCCCCAGTAGGTCTCAGAGCTTTTATTATTGATCTCCTTTTTAGTTTTCAGAGCAGAGATTACTGCTGTGCCTTTAATCTCCTAAGACCCGAATTCTTTCATGGTGTGCACTTTTAATTTCTCTTTGTCATTTGGGCTGATTGGGACCTGATGAATGTTTTTACCTGATTTTTGTTTGAGAAAAATGAGATCCACATATGAGGACATTCGTTTTAAATTTCAATAGAACAGTGGCAGTATAATGTCCTCATAAGTGGATGTCAGGCCATTGTAGAGCAAAATTTAGTATTTTGGTCTAGACAACCTAAAATGTGATGTCCACATATGTGGATGCCAGGTCCTAGGAGGTTAAAACAGCAGTTTTAAAGGCCCAATACCACAAAGGGTTGTTCGATATAACGATATAAAAACATCTATCGTTTCATTTTACGCAATCGTTTGTTTTGTGGTGTCGCAAAATAAAATGTTTACGGCAATATTTTTTCATTATTTTGATGGTCGCTGTAGTGGCTATATTAATTTCTTAAAGTTCTCTCTTTCTCTTATATTTAATATAACCACACTACAGACGGACAAGCGTTTGTTTTTATGCGTTGTCGTTAGCAACAACGACGGTAAAACCACCGCGTGTCCGCTTGTTCCACATAAACCTTTCACAATAAAGCTCAAGATCCTGTTGAGACTTTTCAAAATAAACTGAATGACGTGAAAGATGCAGAGTGTTTACGGATGAGAAGCAAAAAAGAGCCGTCGGGTGCTAAAAAATAAACCTTAGACTCAAACGTTAGAACAGGCTTCTCCCCGCAGCACGCCGTGTAATAAATACTCACAAAGAAAACGGCGGCCGTTACAACTTATGTCTAAAAATGTATCGTTTCATGCATCGGTTAAAACACTCGACTCCAGGTACACCAGGGGTCTCGAACTCCAGGCCTCGAGGGCCGGTGTCCTGCAGATTTTAGATCTCACCGTAGGTCAACACACCTGATTCAAATGATTAGTTCATTACCAGGACTCTGGAGAACTTCAAGACATGTTGAGGAGGTAATTTAGCCATTTAAATCAGCTGTGTTGGATCAAGGACACATCTAAAACCTGCAGGACACCGGCCCTCGAGGCCTGGAGTTCGAGACCCTTGAGGTACACGACGCCCAGCTGGAAACACTTCACGCAAGTCGAGCTGCCCGAGATTCACAGAATTTACAGAAAATGTTACATTTTTGTGATTTATATCGTTATCAACGGTAGATGTCTTAATATCGGGATATGATTTTGGTCATATCGCACAGCCCTATTGTATAATTTCAATTACAGTGACTGAGCCTGGATTCAACTCAAACTATTCACTCTTGCTTTCTTTTTTAATGACATCTAATTACTGCCTCAGCAGGCAAGTTTTTCCAAACACCCTTTCAACAGGAAACACAATCTGTGACTTGTTTATTTAGCGAGTAGCCAAAAAAACAGATTCACTGACCATCCTTCATTAAAAGCCACTTACACGTTTAATTGCTATTTAGATCTGAAAGGAAATAGATGGAACAACAGTTTCTGAATGTGTTAGAAGGCCAAAGGTTTAATGGCAGCTCCTGACATCACAGGGAGGCGTGAGACTAAATCATTTAGATATGGGGATAATGGTGCATATTATAAATGACATCAATTAAAGCCCAAAGGGAAGAATTTGACACAAAGCCAGATGTGGGAATCAACCGGGACATCAGAAAGTCTGCTGATGTTTCTGTTAGAGCCTAAATCACACTGGCTGAAATAACATTACAGCAGGCAGGCATTAATCTAACACCTTTCAGATCTGCCTCATCTGCATTGAAAACTATATTTTCACTCATATCTCAAGATGTCACATAATACGGGTGATGTGAGCTATAAAAGCAAAACTATGTGAAAGTTGATTTGGGATGTTGAAGAGCTCTGTGTGCGTGCACCTCAACACAATCTGAGACTGTTTGCCCTCTGATTTTCATTCTGGATCAAAAGAGTGAAGACGAGCCTGAAATACTGAAAAGGGCTCCCTACACAGCAGCTTTACTTCCTGTGTATGTCTTGTGACGTGCAATATTAAAAGACACAGTCATACTCTTCTGTTTCACTAAAAGCTCTGTGGAACAGAAATAGTCTGAGACCAGTGCTAAACATCTGGGACAATAAATCAATGTCAGCCCACAGGACCTATAGGACAGACTCAGGGCACACTCACAGCTGACGTTGGTGACATAACAAAAAGAAAAGAGTTCTTTCAAAAAACTATTTAAAATCAGCAGCTTAATATTTTATGTATTCTGGAAGACAAGACCAACTGTCCATCAGTGATTATGCACCTGCCACCTGGAAAATAAAGAGGTAAAAAAGCACAAAAACATCCAGAGAGAGAAATGTACACCCTGCAGTCTGCCCAGGTCTGGTGCTGAAGGCTGAGGGGTAAGCTGCGCCCACTTCTGATAGAGCATGCTGGCTCATTTGCTGCTGCAGCTCTGATTTCAAATTGATTCCAAACATGTGGTGTTTTAATTGAAATTACTCATTAAAGAGCACAGAAATGTTAGCCTCTATTATTCTGTTAAATACTTGCATAATCACTGGTTATGAAAGCTGAACAGACGAGAGTTTCAAGTTGAAAACAAAAGATTATATAAATAATTGGTTTATATATAATATACTGTAAAGGAAAAATAAAAAACAAAACTGTCTTTAGTTCAAATGTCCTTGAAACATCCTTTTGATTTTATTGATTTAATTTCTTATCAGCTCTGCAAAGTTGAATTAAATGCAAACAGATCTTACAACAGATTATCACATATGTAGCACAAATGTTATGTTATTGGCTGTTTGAGCACATCCCCTGTTACCCAACCGGGTTACAGAAGCCAGAGGGTGTGCTTTAAATCCTGGGTTTAGGTTGTAAGAATCACTTTTAGATACTCGTCAATTTTTTGCTTGCAAAAGTGGAAGCTCCATATACAAATACAACTCCCTCCTTTCTGCTCTCTGAGCACTGCGCATCCTTAATTGAGATAAGGAGTGCAGAAGAGTTTGTGGTCACATCAAATATTGATTTCCTTTTGTTTTAATTTTCCCTGTTTACTGACAGTTGGGAAAAGATGTTTAATCAAAAGTATTGATTCCATTATTTTTGGAATCGTCCTAATTTTTCCCCCATCATACAATTTAAAGTGTTGATGCTTCAGCTAAGCTCAAATGTGCAGAGTTGTGTGTTGTTTTGCAGCGACTGTGTGTATCTGCGTGTATGGTTTGTACCTGTGGTTCCTGGTTCAGTGTTGGAGAGATTCTGGTAGCACTGCATTTTGATTTCATACAGGATGTACATCTGCTCCTGTGCAGAGAGCGGCCCATCAAACCCCATCTGTAGAGCACAGCAAACACGATCAGATCTTTGACCCTGTGCATACATGACTGTAAGTCACCATTTCCTGAAATTTGAACAACACTGGGAACATCTTCCTGCGTGCTGTGGGCCAGACCTGCTCTGCCCCAGGTCTTTGATTTTAATCTTGAACTGAGCATATATAAAAAACTATGTGAATTTTAAAATTAGAAACTCTTTGATGCATGTAAAGCGACTTCTTTATAGGTATTATACAGGGTGGGCCATTTATATGGATACACCGTAATAACATGGGAATGGTTGGTGATATTAAAGTCCTGTTTGTGCCACATTAGTATATGTGAGGGGCAAACTCCTCAAGATGGGCGGTGACCATGGTGGCCATTTAGAAGTCAGCCATCTTGGATACAACTTTTGTTTTTTCAATAGGAAGAGGGCCATGTGACACATCAGACTTATTGGTAATGTCACAAGAAAAATAATGGTGTGCTTGGTTTCAACGTAACTTTGTTCTTTCACGAGTTATTTACAAGTTTCTCTTTGTTCACAGCCATTGACATGTTGAAGAGGTTAACACGTGAGGAGCGAAATTGTGTTGATATCTGGTGAACGCAGTAACTGGGTCATTGCAGCAGATTTCAATGCCAGACCCCCTACGAGACCACCCATCTCCCATGCTACAGTTAGCAAACTGCTTGCTAAGTTTCGTGAAACTGGTTCAGTGTTGGATTTGCCAAAATGTGGACGCAAGAAAACTGTCACTAATGAAGAAACATCAGTGGCTGTCCTAGCTTCATTCAGCAAGAGCCCACAGCGTACCACTCGCCGCATGTCACTGGAGAGTGGCATTAGTCCAACATCCCTTCGGCGGATATTAGCTACTCACAAATGGCACCCTTACAAACTCCAGCTACTGCAGCATCTCAACGAGGATGACCCAGATCGCACACAGAATTTGCAGAATGGGCAAAACAAAAATTGGAACAGGACCCTCAGTTCACGCAGAAGATTTTGTTCAGTGATGAGGCAAACTTTTATGTGAATGGTGAAGTTAACAAACAAAACCACCGCTATTGGTCTGACACTAACCCACATTGGATGGATCCTCCAAGACTGTTGGAACAACAAAAGTGATGGTTTGGTGTGGTATATGGGGTACAACGATAGTGGGTCCATTCTTCATCAATGGAAACCTCAAGGCCACTGGATATTTGAAATTGCTACATGATGATGTGTTTCCCTCTTTATGCACTGAAGCTGGCACGTTCCCTGAGTTTATCCAGCAAGATGGTGCACCACCACATTATGGGTGCCAGGTCCGAGCATTCCTAGATGAACAGTTTCCTGGAAAGTGGATTGGTCGTCGTGGGCCAGTTGAATGGCCCCCAAGGTCTCCCTATCTGACCCCGTTAGACTTTTATCTTTGGGGTCATCTGAAGGCAATTGTCTATGGTGTGAAGATACGAGATGTGCAGCACCTGAAACTACAGATACTGGATGCCTGTGCTGGCATTTCTCCTGCGGTGTTGCTATCAGTGTGTGAAGAGTGGGAGAAGAGGGTTGCATTGACAATCCAACACAATGGGCAGCACATTGAACACATTTTATAAGTGGTCAGAAACTTGTAAATAACTCATGAAAGAATAAAGTTACGTTGAAACCAAGCACACCATTGTTTTTCTTGTGACATTACCAATAAGCTTGATGTGTCACATGACCCTCTTCCTATTGAAAAAAACAAAAGTTGGATCCAAGATGGCCGACTTCTAAATGGCCACCATGGTCACCACCCATCTTGAGGAGTTTGCCCCTCACATATACTAATGTAAATAAGCGTTTTTTAAATTTGTTTGTTAGGTTTTTGTTGTTGTTGTTGTTGTTCTCCATGAAAATAAGTGAGTGGCTCCAAATACTTGTTAGAGCATTCATTGTTTTTACTGCTGTTTAGCTGAAGTTCAGAATTATTCTATAAACAAAGTCAGAACTACGACAGCCTTTCCAAGAGTATTTTAATTTCCTTTTCTAAATAAAAATGAATGTGAGACTGAGAATATCCAATATTCTCAGTCTCATGTTTTCCCCTGGTTTATATGGTTTTGTTTGACTAGAGATCCAGTCAAAGGCAACAAACAGTTTAACATGCAAGAACTGCAGTTATTGCTATTTAGCCAGCTGTAACCATTTAACTTCAATATTTAATTTTAAACAATTATGTTAATTTTGAGAAATTATAAGTATTCTGCTACTGTAGATTTCTACTTATCTGCTTTGGCGATAAACCTTTTGGCTTTCCCGTCATCTGCATTGCGTCACCAATATTTTAACCAGATCTTTAAATCTCCGGTCAAGGAAGAAGGCGGCTGCTACATTTACCAAGTGAAGCTCTAGCATAATGGGCCACATGTTCTAACTTGGGAATCCTGCATAAAATAATGGGCAGATTAGTCTATAGAGCTTGAAAAGAAAAGAGTCTGGACTACTTTAAGTTTCCTTGAAGACGTTTCACCTCTCATCCAAGAAGCTTCTTTAGTTCTAAGAGCCCCAGATTTTAAACCCTATGGGAGTGTCTCCCAAGAGGGTCATGGACCCCCTATTGGTCCTCTGCCTAATCCCACGAGCCAATGTGTGAAAACGGGAGTAGGTCACAATCAGCCATTGTGAAGCCTAGAGCCCCACCCTATCATGTGATTTGCTGAGGTCAAATGGCCCAGGATGCGAGTGGGCATTAAGGCGTCTGGGAAGGATCTCAGATTATGGCTTTCAGGCCATCCAGCTCTTGATGTTCTTAATTAATAGTTAATGAATAACTAATAGTTTTAAACCACATCGATTTTATGGCAATAAAAATAAATTATATTTTCATTATTATTAAGTTAAAGAAAATTATGAGTAAACCAAACTTTAATTTTAACTAAACAATCAGAAAGAGACGTGGTGGGAGAATAGCAGTGGGTTTGGAAGATAAACAGAAATGAGTGTTATATCACCTGAAAATATTGCAGAGAGGTAGAAGATAAATATTGAAGAGCAAAGCCCCCGGGACAGAGCCTCGAGGCACACCACAATAATCTGAATTATACTGATACATATGTATATTTATTTGCACAAACTGAACAGCCGGAGAGGTACGAGAAAACCATGCGAGTGACTGTTTATGCCATTAGAGACTAATCTATAGCGGACGGTGTGGTGGGAGAATGTATCAAAAGCTGCAATAAGATCAATGAGATGAGATCCAACCTTGCAAAGCTAGTGTGGGGAGAATTTTGGGTGACATCTCTTCTCATGGAGAGTCCTCGATTCAATTTTTGCCTCACTTTCATCAATCAATGCAGAATTTAAAGCAGATTTTTTGTGGTGCATAAATTCTTGGAGACGAGCAATAATATAGATTCACTCTTCAGCTACTCACACGTTGCCAAAGGTTTAGGCCTTGCATATTTATACATTTAACACTTGGCATGAATGAAAATGAAAAATATATAAAGAATGTGCTGGTGAGATTATTACACTTATGACTTATGAAAAGATGATTCGCCCAAAAACTTAAATCGCCCTTTCTCAACACTGCTTTTCCTAATTTATTTAAATGATTTCTTTCTGTAGAAGTGAAAATGACTGAGATAACAAATGTATTAGAGTTTTTTAATGTAAAACATTTGCATTCCTTTTTCTTTTGCTCTCTCTTTCTGCCACAGCCTTTTTCTTTATGCAAGTCCAACATGCTTTCCATTTTGAGGCTGATACAGAAAATATACATGTGACCTGGTAAGATTGTGGCCACGATTCTTCCCCGAACGTGACCAGGATTGTTATTCAGACATCATACTCACATGTCAAACTGCCATCAGATTTGCATAACTGGGTGCATGTCTGGAAGTCGATCCAGTCGAGACTGTTTTGTTATAGTTTGGACCAAAGTGAAGAAGTGACCAAAGAGAGAGAGCTCTCTCTGAAGTGATGCTTCTGACATGACTAAAACGGGCATATCACTCACACATATTTCCTAAAAGCTTCTTTTAAAACCCCGACATCAGTTTTGATTGACTTCTTATACGAGTCTGAGCAAAAAGAAAAACTGATTTTTGCCTTTATTTACTTTTATATTAACAGTATGCTTGCTTTATTCCTCAAAACGTAAGAAAAGGTCCAGAATCAGTGGATTCCAGTCATTCTCTCAGTGACTTTCAATCTTTTTTTGTTTGTTTCTTCTTTTCACATTGATTTCCATATACTTCACTTCCAGTTAATGTCTCATTTCTACGGAGCCCCGCAGGCGACATGGGAGAAAAAAAATTAAGACGGACTTTTGCGAGATCTCACAAAACTAACTCGGGATCTCGCGAAACTTTTGCGAGATCTCGCAAAAGTTTTAGCCGCAATCTTCGGATGCCGGCTCGAAGCCAACTGGGAGGTCGAGGCACGATGTGCCGGGAAAGCGGTGCTCCTCCCGGCTTTAGTAGGTCTCGACCTCCCGTTAGCTTCGAGCTAACGGGAGGTCGAAGGCCGAAGAATGCGGCTAAAACTTTTGCGAGATCTCGCAAAAGTCCATCTTAATTTTTTTCTCCCATGTCCCCTGCAGGCTCCGTACATTTCCACTCTCATAATTTGCTTCACTTCTTACAGAAATCTAAGACCTCTCAGATGTACTCCTCAAACTTTTAACATCCTTTTATGTGATTATTCCAGTTTTCCAAACCCAAGCCTGACAGTCACTGAAAATCTGAAAAAAAGACGTCATTACAGCTTTAAGCCATCTCACAGCCTCTCCAGGAAAATAACAGTGTGGTTATTGTACCATGTCAAGCTTACAAACCCATGTACGATCATATATCTAACAGACCATTAAGCAGAAGAATCAAACACAGTTAATATTCTTTGCAGATCATGTTTAAGATGTCTGTGTTTCAGATTTGAAGCCTTAACATTTCCCAGTAGAGTTAATTATAGTTAACATACTTTCAGAAATATGTTAAAGCTCCATCTGGAGTGTGGTAGGAAACTTGGACTTACTCTTA